AGGAAAATTCAGTTTTTTGGCCAGATGCGGTGGCTCGTGCCTGTAATCCCAGCACTTTGGGAGGCTGAGGGGGGGGCAGATCACAAGGTCAGGAGTTTGAGACCAGCCTGGACAATATGGTGAAACCCCGTCTCTACTAAAAATATAAAAATTAGCCGGGCATGGTGGTGGGTGCCTGTAGTCCCAGCTACTTGGGAGGCTGAGGCAGGAGAATCGCTTGAACCCGAGAGGCGGAGGTTGCAGTGAGCCAAGATTGCGCCACTGCCCTCCAGCCTGGGCCACAGAGTGAGACTCCATCACAAAAAAAAGAAAAAGAAAAAAATTCAGTTTTTCTAACTGTTAATATACAAAAATACTTGAATTTGTACAACTACAGCTCTTCTTTTGATTAACAAAATATTGTAGCCTGTTTGGATACAATTGTGAATTATGTATGTACCATGACTAATTTTAAGTATATTTCTTCTCTGTCAATTTCTCAATTTACTAACAGCATTATCTTTACTCTGATGTTGTGCTCCACCAAATTTGCAGTTATGTTGTCTCTACAGAACCAAACAATTTAAACCTGACTGTTGAATTCTGTTTAAGGGGTTTTGGTTTTTGGGGTTTTTTTGAGGCAGAGTCTCTGTCTGTTGCCCAGGCTAGAGTGCAGTGACACAATCTCAGCTCACTGCAACCTCCACCTCCCTGGCTCAAGCTATCCTCCCACCTCAGCCTCCTGAGTAGTTGGGACTAGAGGTGCGTGCTACCACACCCAGCTAACTTGTTTGGGGGTTTTTTGTTTGTTTTTTATAGAGATGGGATTTCACCATATTGCCCAGCCTGGTATCAAACTCTTGGGCTCAAGTGGCCCACCCTCCCTGACCTCCCAAAATGCTGGGATTATAGGCATGAGCCACTACACCTGGCCAATTGTTGAATTTTGTAACTGAACTTATAGTAACGTTTATAATAATGTCAGAGTTTTCATCATCAAAGATTGAACTTCTAAAAGGTTTGCTTTGACTTCATGAGGAATCAAACCAAAAATCAAATCGTTATTATAATTAACCTATTTGATTTTTCTATTTGAAGTATCTGAATACATTCATATAAAATTGACCTCATTTAACTATTTACAAATTATTTTTGCACTAAGCCAACACATTAAAAGCTGCTCTTTGACTACAAAAAAAGAAAACATCAACAACCTGTAGCCAGGCACAGCTGTGCACACCTGCAATCTCTGCTCTCGAGAAGGAGGTTGGGGAGGAGGGTCACTTGAACCCAGGAGTTCCAGTCCAGCCAGGGCAACATGGCAACACCCCATCTCTAAACAAACAACCTGTAGCCAGGCATAGCTGTGCACACCTGCAATCTCTGCTCTCGAGAAGGAGGTTGGGGAGGAGGGTCGCTTGAACCCAGGAGTTCCAGCCCAGCCTGGGCAACATGGCAACACCCCATCTCTAAACAAACAAAACAAAACAAAATGTCATAAAAAAGTGAAACTAGAAGGAAATTCATTTGATCTAAATGAAAAGTCATGCTCACACAATGACATATAAGTGCAATTTCTACAGATTGTTGTCTTTGGACACAATCTTTAAAAAATAAGCATAAACTTTTGAAGTAGATTCTAATGTTCTTTGGCAGATGTATATCTTTTGATTTTCACATGGTCATTTGAGACCACTACGGTGCCCATGGTGGGGGGTAAATATCAACCAATATTGCAAGTATAACGTTCAATCATCTTAAAAAACTGTACTGAACTTTACACGAAATACGTGTTTCCATTTTTTAGCTCTTCACAGTGAAAATGAATTATTAGCAAATAAGAAACTGTTACCAAATACAATAGTTATATAGTCACACCATATAGTAAGTAACAAGGCCAGGTGCAGTGGCTCACCCCTGTAATCCTAGCACTTTGGGAGGCCAAGGTGGGTGGATCACCTGAGGTCAAGAGTTCGAGACCAGCCTGGCCAACGTGGTGAAACCCCATCTCTACTAAAAATACAAAAATTAGCCAGGCATGGGGGCAGGCACCTATAATCCCAACTACTCAGGAGGCTGAGGCAGGAGAATTGCTTGAACCTGGAGGGCGGAGGTTGGAGTGAGCCAACTTCACACCAGCCTGGACGAAAGAGCAAAACTTCATCTCAAAATAAATAAATATAAAACAAAATAAAGTAACAGAACCACTGTTGCAAGAGAGTTCAAACTACTCTCAGCAGGACTGCTCAGTATCTAGTTCCCACACATGCATCATGTATCCATAACCTAACCCATAATTTTCCACGTTTCTCACTGACCCCATTGATTTGCAGCCTGGCAGCTTTGCACATCTCATAGGCTAACACAGAAAGAAACTATTGCCTAACTGGCTAGAATGCTTAACAGCTTGCATGGGTTACAGGGATATGTTTTATTATGTTTTGACTGGAAGGGTCTCTGGTTGACTTTCATGTATAATCATATGTAAAAGTAAGCATTCCATTCACTGCACATGGACATCTCACACATTACTAGCTAAGATCATGGCTGGATGCTGGAAGGATGAAATTATATGTACCTTGTGTGGGATACAAGCTAAATCAGATGAGATAATGAACAACAGACATAAACTGGGACTGTGCTAGGCAAACTGATATATATGGTCACTGTATCTATAATTGAATTACTGTTTTCAAAAGGGACTTGGCCACATTCTGTAGCATTTTCTTACCACATAACCGTAGGCCTATACACGAAGGGTCCTTAGCTTTCTCTCATCTCCTGCTGCACTTTGTTCTTACCTCTATTGTAAGAGTTACCACATTATACTCTAATTATCTGTTTATATACCTGTCATGCCCACAGCCTGTAATCCTTGAAGAAAGAGATTGGGTCTTTTGCAGTTTTGTATAAGACATGCTTAGGAACATAGATTCAGGCCATCTTGAATCTATGCTCCCAAGAAAAAAATAATTTTATTAAAAAAAGAAATGCTTATAGATGAATAAATGGATCAATACAAATGACCCGAATGAACTTAGAAAATGAAGTTGATGTCTCTTAGACCATACTTTTCATACTCTCTGAAGACATGGGATGGCATAGAAGTAGGAGTTGGTAGGGGAGGACATGTTTGAACCTGCATTTTTAACAAGCCCCCTGGGTGATTCTGATGTCAGTGGCTCATAGGACACACTGCCTTCAGTCGTGAGCTCAGGCCAAAGTAGACAGAAGGTGAAGTCCACGGTGCAGGTGCCAAAGGCAATTTCAATTTTGATCAAAATTCTTCTAGCATCAGTGATTGAGGTCTTGGGAAGAGCCAAAATAAGTAGACTGTACAATATTTGCAGAAGATGCTCCAGCAGAGGATTATTTCTCAAGGGAATATAAGTGTAGAAACATATGTCAGCAGATTAACCCAACAACACTCCACATATACTTTTACAAGCATCACAGCCCAAGCTTAGAAAACAGGTCTGGGTTTCTTTTAGAACATAGTTTAGTCAGTAGTCAGAGTTGAGAAAGAGTGACTCCCTATTTAGCATTCTAGCATCCTACAAATAGTAGAACTGGCTTTATGGAAGTACAATTTTCATTAAGCAATTTACTCTTTCTGGCTAGCTCTTTACAATTCTTAATGGTTTTTGTCATCAGATTTAACTGGAACCTTTCATCCCTTTATCAAGCACGTATTTAATACCTACTATGGGCCAGGCACTAGACTCAATGCTAATGAAAACACAGATGAGGATGACACTGTTCTCAGGTCTCCTATAGAGTGGGAGAGACAAACATGCCTCCTGCTGTAAAGTGGGAAGTGTGAGAATGACGGTAAACCCAACGGCTCATCTCCTGGAACCACCCTCCACCCTGTGCTTCCAACAGTTCTGCAGCTCCCAAACCTACCAGGCTTCCTGGCTTGAGAACAGGCTCACAATGCCTTTGCTTTCCACTTCCTCCCACTTACCAATTTCTCCTCTCTCCTTCCAGCTTTAGCTCTTAGATGTAGTGCTGCAGTGAACATCTATGTAACCCAGTCTTCATGCCATGATTATTTCCTTAGAATACATTCCTAGAAACAGAATTTCTGGGCCAAAATGTATGCAAAATATTAAAGCATTCAATGCATGTTCCTAGATTGCCGAAGAAGTTAGTGCACCTATCTGCTCTGTACAAGAGTTCTCATTTCTACTGCCTCTTCAATGGTTGTCACTTTTTTGTTGTTAAATATTAACCAACTTTTAGATGAAAATGGTATCTTGGTTTAATTTGCACTCCTTAGATTACTAGTAAAATTAAATAAAATATATTTCCCAATAAAAGTTTTAAAGAGGTATTTCCTATGTTTATCACTGAATGCAACCACCATGATCATTTTGTTCTATTTTTTTAAATGCTTTATATGTATTGAATGTAGTTGAAGACACAGTATGCATATAATTTGATAGTCCGCTCTTTTTTTTTTTTTTTTTTTTTTTTTTTTTTTTTTGAGACAGAGTCTTACTCACTCTGTCGCCCAGGTTGGAATGCAATGGTGCGATCTCGGCTCACTGCTATCTTCACCTTCCAGGTTCAAGCGATTCTCCTGCCTCACCCTCCCAAGTAGCTGAGATTACAGGAGTGCACCACCATGCCCAGCTAATTTTTGTATTTTTAGTAGAAATAGGTTTCACCATGTTGGCCAGGCTGGTCTTGAACTCCTGACCTCAAGTGATTCACCCACCTGGGCCTCCCAAAGTGTTGGGACTACAGGCATGAGCCCCCACACCCAGCCAATATTCTGCTCTTTATTAACTTAATGAAAATATCATGATCATTCCTTTAGAATCTTTAAAGCCATTATTTTTCATGGTTGCACACTCAGGTAGCTAACACACACATACACACTTTTTTTAAAAGTATAATTTCTATTTCTATTTTCTCAAGAATGCAGAAGTTCTTTCATTCTCTACATTCTAAAGAAAGCTGAAGAGAATAGATGATTTTTTTTCTCTATCATATCACTTATTTTCTTCCCACAGGAACCACAAAGCCTCCAAACTGGCCCAAGCCTATCTATGACTTGGATAAAAAGGATCCAAGAAACAACGGCTTCCTCAATGATGACTTCATTGTGTGGATGCGGGCAGCTGCCTTTCCCACTTTCAAAAAACTGTATGGTCGACTCAATCGAACACACCATTTTATAGAAGGCTTGCCTGCTGGTAATTACAGTTTCAACATAACCTATAGTATCCTTTCATACCACTTTTCTTTCTGGAGATAAAAGAAAACCTGGCTGCTGGTTGTTGAGATTCTATACTTTTCTATTTTCCAATCAAATCTGTATACCAAAAAAAAAAAAAACCAAACATGTGTAAGGGAGGATAAAATTCTCCTATTCCCTCCCAGGGGTTAAAGCTGGGACTGACAGATTAACAACAGAAAAGCATATGAATGTTATGCCTTTACATGTACGTGTGAGCCCTCACAAGAAAAATGGAGACTAAAAAGAGAAGTGACTAAGTCTAAGTGCTCATATGCTAGGCTGAACAAAGAATGGCAATTGTAGAAACATAACTAGGAAGATAAAGGTTAGTTTAGCAAGGCTTTGTTTGTTTGTTTGTTTGTTTTTGGTTTTGGTTTTGCTTTTGTTTTTGTTTTTGTAGAATTCTCTCAGTCTCGACTCTCTGGGAGGCCGCGGCAGGCAGATCATGAGGTCAGGAGTTTGAGACCAGCCTGACCAACATGGTGAAACCCGGTCTCTACTGAAAATACAAAAAAAATTGCCAGGCATGGTGGCACACGCTTGTAATCCCAGCTACTCAGGAGGATGAGGCAGGAGAATCGCTTGAACCTGGGAGGTGGAGGTTGCAGTGAGCCGAGGTCGCACCATTGCAGTCCAGCCTGGGTGACAGACTGAGACTGTCTCAAAAAAAAAAAAGAAAGAAAGAAAGATTAAATAATACCAGGCCTAGAGATCTGTTAAAAAAAACTGTGAGAAGCATGCCAGATAGGATGGGAGGAGATGGAAGACTATGAAAATAGGAGTTTGATAAGTAAATATAGACTAAAAATTACTAAAACTGAGCCTACAGAACCTTTTATTCTAGGGAAAAGTATCACAGACCACAGGAGCTCTGGACTCAAGGGACAGGTCCAGTTCATCCAAATCCACGTGAAGTGTGCGACAGGCTCTACACTGAAGACGCCATGTTCCTCCCTCCCTTAGGCACAAAGCCAGCATGTGGGAGATGGTGCCCTAACGATTAGGGATATATGGTCCAACTTAGGAGACATATGCTTATTTTTACTTTTATTTACATATTTACTTTTGAGACAGGGTCTTGCTCTGTTGCCCAGGCCAGAGTACAGTGGTGCAGTCACATCTCATTGCAGTATTGACCTCCTGGCTTCGAGTGATCTTCCCACCTCAGTCTCTCAAGTAGCTTGGACTACAGGCACTCACCACCGTGCCCAGCTAATTCTCTCTCTCTCTCTTTTTTTTTTTTTTTTTAAGAGATGGTGTCTCCCTTGCTGCCCAAGCTGACACATGCTTAAATATGAGTCTGAATTTTTTCACTTAATGTAAAAATACAAATGTAGCTCTTGATTTGAAAACAAACAGAACTTAACTTTAGCATGGCACCAAACACTACCTTTAAGAAATTATATATTTAAATGCAATTTACACTAACTCTGTTCTTTAGATTGAATTTTAAAGTCTCCTCCTGATTCTCCCTGAGGTAGCATTCTCTGGAGGCGGAATCATTCCAGGGCTTTTACATGACTTTGAAATTGCAGCCCAGTTAGCACCGCTGTGTTCATCCTCCCCAGGCTCCTGGCTCGTTGTTCAATGGGACCCCTAATGGGTCAATTTTAACACAAAATTGTCCACCTCCTTAGTTTCTTTACCTTTCAGGGAGGCTGAATAAGAAATTCTTGGGGAGAAGGGAATGACAGCATGTGCTCCAGTTCCCTGCTCCAACTTTTATTCCTTTCCATCCTAGAACAGATGTGTGGACATCTCCATCCGGACAGGGAAGTGGGCGCATTTCTCAGTCAGAAAGGCCCCCACTGATGAGATGCCATCTCTGCCTCTCAACTTTTTGTCTTCTTTTGTTTACTGACCAGGTGGAGCTATGCCTTCAGTTAGTTCCTTTAGCAGGGTGTCTAATTCTGTGAAAATGAAAATGAAAGCCACAAATTGCCTCTCGTGGAGCATTATAGGTACAGATCAAAGAGTAAACTCTTTGAATAAGAATTTCAGCAAACTCCTCTCTCCCTCAAAATTATTATTATTATTATTTTATTTATTTATTTTTTTGAGATGGAGTCTCGCCTATGGCCCAGGCTGGAGTGCAGTGGCGAGATCTCGGCTCACTGCAAGGTCCGCTTCCCGGGTTCACGCCATCCTTCCTGCCTCCTCCTGAGTAGCTGGGACTACAGGCGCCGCCACCACGACCGGCTAATTTTTTTTGTATTTTTAGTAAAGACGGGGTTTCACCGTGTTAGCCAGGGTGGTCTCGATCTCCCAACCTTGTGATCCACCCGCCTCGACCTCCCAAAATGCTGGGATTACAGGCGTGAGCCACCGCGCCCGGCCTCCTTCAAAAAAATTTAAGCAGAGGTTGAAAGTTGCTTAAAACTAGTCTCTCAAGTTAGGCCTTCTGATTCTGTCAATTTTGGGGCTGCCTTACCATTAAAGCAGTTATGGGTGCATTCAAGGAGCAGGAAAAAACTTCATGCACTGCGATACCACAATGCGTTAGGATGACTTTGGGGTTGGGAGGATGAGGGAGGGGCATGTTCCCAATAACAGACATTCTGTTTCTCCTCTCTGGACATGCTCTCCCTGGGTGACTACATTCACAGTCATGTCTTCATGCTAATCCCTCTCAAATGAAAATCTGTGTACGTAGAACTTCAATGCTAAGCTTCAGGACTATACCTGCACTACCTGGGTAGAGCTCTGGTGTGAGTATCATCCAACCAGACTAAGAAAGTGCCTACCACTTCTAAGGGGAAAAAAGGTGTTCTGTGTATGAGGAGAAGACCCTCTCATAGAGAACTGAGGGAGGGAGAAAACAGGCAGATGGGTTGAGGTGGCACCCAAGAACGTGGTGACAAGGAGGAATTCTGATGGAAAAGGAGAGACAGAACTAGTTCCCTACTAATTTTCCTTGTGCCTTTAAATAGCACGTTGCCAAGTGATTTGAGGCCCTTTAATAGCTTTGCTGGGAAATGCCTCTGTCCTGTGCCGTTGCTATGAGAAGCCTTTCTTTGTTTATTAGTTTGGTTTACAAAAGGCACCAGATGTTTTAAAACCTCAGGCCACATGTATAATCAAAATGACATCATTAGAATGCTAACGATAGCAAACCCACTTCAAACACTTTCTCCCCAGCATGGGGATACTGGCCTTGCCAAAACCCAAATGAATGTACCACCTTTAGTTCGACCACCAAAAATGTTTTGTGATCTTTTTGTTTGTTTGTTTGTTCTTCACTCCCCTTAAAGAATTTTCCCTGAGGTAGGAATTCAAACCTTAGCCTATTAAAGGACTATAGCCTGCCTGGGTCTCCTGATTCATATTTAAAAATTTACGTTTGTATTCTTTTAATTTCCTTGGGTTTGCCAAAGGAAATTAAATATATTTGTTCATTATTCAGTTGTCTGTAAGTCATTCGGATCTGTGTCAGAATCTCTTTTGTAGCTTACAACTATGTAGAGGGAAGGCTTGTTTTCATTTTCATTCCAGCAAGATACAGGGCAGTGCTTGGTAAAGATTAAGTTGCACCATATGAGATTAAATATTTCACCATTTTTTACCAACAAAAAAGCGCAATTTTATATACGTCAACCTAATATATTCAGTATACGCAATACTACAAATGTGAAGTGTTGAGACAGATCCTTAACAGGTCTTCTTAGACTTCCCAGTGACCAGGTTCCAAGGAGAAAAATCAGTTGTTCTCTCCACCCTGACATGGTGTGGGGGTAATAGCCTTTTCTTAGGTCTTGCCTACACAGTGACAGGAGCTATAACATGGTTGGCCTCCTTTGCCATGATGGCAATTCACATCACACTGAAAAACAAGCAAATGTCCTTCTTCCATCAGTAAAGTCAAGCTTTAAAAAGAAAAGGAGGAAACAAAAATGGACAGTGAAGTAACAGAACCAAAGATGTCTGAAAGGCTTGAAATGACTGGAATGTTTCAACAAGGGGAACTAGATTGACTGAACTAAAATCAATTTGAAATAGGTAATGAAGAGAATTTTAGAGTTAAAAAGAAGAAGGAGGAAGAAGAGGGGAGGCATAATTATATGTAGTAAAATGTCCTTGGTATGGGGAGAATAAATCACTCTTGAGCTCTAGACCAGTTCTCCAGTATTTATTTGAAGTCCTTGAGCCTAAAGGCAGGTGAACTCCGTAAGAGAGTGCCATCACCAGAAAAGAGCAAGCAACCTGGGGTGCCCACGTTTAGGTGAGTCCTAACCATCAGATCAGGCTCAAACCATGAGTCTTCACTGGCTATCTGAAATTTTCTTTTTTCTTTTTTTTTCTTTTGAGATGGAGTCTAACCCCGTCACCCAGGCTGGAGTACAGTGGCACAATCTTGGCTCACTGCAACTTCTGCCTCCCAGGCTCAAGTGATCCTCCTGCCTCAGCCTCCTGATTAGCTAGGATTATAGGCGTGTGCCACCATACCCGGCTAATTTTTGTTATTTTATTTATCTATTTATTTGTTTGTTTGAGACAGAGTCTTGCTCTGTCACCCATGCTGGAGTGCAGTGGCGTGATCTCAGCTCACTGTAACCTCTATCTCCCAGGTTTAAGCAGTTCTCCTGCCTCAGCCTCCCGAGTAACTGGGATTACAGGTGCATGCCACCACGCCTGGCTAATTTTTGTCATTTTAGTAAAGACGGGGTTTTTCACCATGTTGGCTAGGCTGGTCTCGAACTCCTGACCTCAGGTGATCCACCCGCATCACCCTCCCAAAGTGCTGGGATTACAGGCTTGAGCCACCGTGCCCGGCCTAATTTTTATAATTTTAGTAGAGTCAGGGTTTCACCATGTTGGCCAGGCTGGTCTCAAACTCCTGACCTCAAGTGATCCACCCGCCTTCCAAAGTGCTGAGATTACAGGTGTGAGCCACCGCACCCGGCCTGAAATTATTGTAGCCACCCCAACAATTGTTGAACTAAATTGAGCATCAGGATGATTTTTGAAAACTGATTTTTTTTAATGCTCTCCCTTTTCTATAGAGTTAAGTCTTGTTTTTTCCACTAAGAACAGACCAAGCAAAGGTTATGACAATATGCTTAGCACTCAAAATACAGCCATGCACCAAAAAGAAGGGCCAGAAACTTTCCTAAAGTTGGCCAAGAGGGAAGCATTGAAAGTGACTGATTCTCAAAACTGTACTCAGCATGTTGAAGGCACAACAATTCTAGAACTTATGTTGGGATGACGTGTTCTAGAATACAAATGATGGTGTAGATTTATGATACTTGAATTAATATTTTGAGGAAGGTTCTCAGGGTCTCTCTTAAAAGGCTTTAATTCCTGCCAAAGGTCCCTTATGGGAGACTGGATGGAATGCTTAGTGAATCTGTCAGGACATGAAATCCCACATATTTGTGTACCTAGCTGGCCACAATATTATACTTTTTAAGACATTTTTATGTTAATTTTTTAGAGACGGGGGAAGATTTACTCTGATGATTCTAGGAGCAGAATTGTCATTGTTAAATAAAAATATAGTACCAACACATGTCCACCTCTTTAGGAGCCAAGAAAGCATTTCTTTGTTGCAAATTTCTGCATTTGTCACATAATCGAGCACTTTTCTAAAATATAAAATAATTTTAGGTACCAACTATGAAATTTTAGAATCCTTCCCCTATCTCACCTTCCATCTGTAACCAATTACCTCTGACCAGGTATGGTAGGTAGAATAATCGCCCCTGCCCACCACCGATGATGTCCACGTCCTAATCCCCGGAATGTGTAAATGTTGTATTAAATGTCCAAAGATACTTTGCAGATATGAATAAGGACACTGACAGAAGGAGATGATCCTGGGTGACTGGGGTGGGCCCACTGCAATCACAAGGGCCTTATAAGAGGGAGGCAGGAGATAAAAGGAGTAGCAGGAGACGCAACAACAGAAGCAGGAGGTTGGAGTGATGTGAGGAAGCGGCCATGATCCAAAGAATGTAAGTGGCCTCCGGAAGCTGAAAAAAGCAAGAAACAGATTGTTCGCTGAAGCCTTCAGATGCCCTGCTGACACTTTGATCTGATCTGCAGAAATGTAAGAGAATAAATTTACCTTGTTTCAAGCATGGAGTGTATGGTAATTTGTTACAATGGCAATAGAAAAGGAACACATCAGAGGCTGGCAATGCTTTAGTCATCTGAGTAATTGCTTCTGGAGCTTAGGTAATCTATCCAGGGCAGAGCACTAGGAAGGGACAAGGCTCACACATCACCTAGGCCCACTGACTTATGATCCTGGGCTCATGGCCTCTTAGTCCACACTCCTCAGTTATGGTACTGGTTAGGAAAGGCAAGAGCACATTTGTTACCTCTCAGCCTTGCTTGTCAGCTTAGGGGATGCTGGATTAGTCAGAGTTCTACAGAGAAGCAGAATCAATAAAGTGCAGACAGGTGTATGGACAGGATAGATGATAGATAGATAGATAGATAGATAGATAGATAGATAGATAGATAGATAGATTTTAAGATATTGTGGAGGCTGGCAAGTCCAAAATCTGATGGGAGAGGCCTCTCAGGAAAGACTTGCAGTCCAAATCCAAGGCAGTCTGCTGGACAAGCAGGAAGAGCCAATGTAGATGAAGTCTACAGGCAGTCTGCTGGGGAGTTCCCTCTTGCTCTGAGGTCAGCCTTTTGTTCTATTTAGGCTTTCAGCAGATTGGATGAGGCCCACCCACATTACGGAGGGCCATCTGCTATACCCAAAGTCCACTGATTTAAGTGCAAATCTTATCCAAAAATACCTTCACAGAAACATCCAGAATAATGTTTGACCAAGTATCGGGGCGCCCCATGGCCCAGCCAAGTTGACATAAAAAATTAACCATCACAGCTGCCAAGAAGGCATCTGCATCCACCAAGTGGTCTAACATTTTCCCAACAAAGCATTTGTCATTTAACTTTATGCTAGAATCAGCTTAATGAAAAGGAGCTATACAAAAACACAAGTCATATCCATGAGAAGCTAAACTCTTCAAGAAAAATGCATGGCCAGAATTTATGACAGAATGTAGATTGTTCCACTCCTTTTTTCTCCTTCTCCACAAGTCAGTGCATCCAAAGCAGTTTATCTTTGCAGGACTCTCACTCTGCTGTGCAATCTGGGAGCCATCCTCCTTAACCCTGATAGAGGAAAAGCACTGTCATTCACAGTTCACTCCCTACCTACAATGGGAAGCTTAACTTCTCTGGTTTTCTTTCTCGCCTATTCTTTCTCTTCTCTTCCCCTCTCCCATCATCTTGCTCTTGTCTCCTTCCTTTTTTTTTTTTTTTTTTCTGAGACAGGGTCTCACTGTGTCACCCAGGTTAGAATGAAGTGGTGGGTTCATCGCTCACTGCAGCTTTGACCTCCCAGGCTCAAACAATCCTCCCACCTCAGCCTCCTGAGTAGCTGGGACTACGGGCATCCACCACCACACCCAGCCAATTTTTTCTTCTTTTTTTTTTTTTTTTGGTAGAGATGGGGTCTTTCTATGTTGTTCAGGCTGGTCTTGAACTCCTTGGCTCAAGCGATCCTTCTGCCTCAACTTCCCAAAGTGTTAGAATTACAGGTGTGAGCCACTGCACCAGGTCCTCCCTCCACTTTTCTAATTCTTCATCCTTGTGCTTTTGTGAACTGGTTGGTGAAAATTTGGAAAAATCAAAAAAGTAAGTGCTATTCTACCCTTTCTCCAACTCCGGCAACAATGCTGGAGATGAAGAGATACAAAGTGAGTGTGAGATTGAGAGAGAACGAGAATCAGTGAGAGATTCTGAACGTGTAAGTGTGTGTGTCAGCGTGTGACTGGTTAGAAACTCATTGGGGTTTTGAGGTGCTTTTATTTTGGTGTATATTTTAAGTGCAAGGGCAAAGGCAGTAAGGTATAAAATGGGGCAGGATGAAATTACAGGTGAATGAAAGTGTAGACTTGACCTTTACTTGAATTGTACTTACTAAATCCCTACCTTGTGTGACAAGTGCACTATGTTAAGGATACCGAAATGAGCCACCTGGGCCCCTGTTTGGAAGGTACTTATCATCTCACACCAACCTTTGTGTCCTTTTGAATCCACTCGTACTCAGCCCACACAGTTGTGCATGATTCCATACCCTCCTCACACAGGTTTCTCTCAGTTTCCCGTATGTCAGTCTGCTCCCACTCCCAAAGACAGAAAAGGGAATGCGCTCACAGGGTAGCACCAGGCTTCCAACTCCCTCTGTATTATCCCAGAGCAACGAAGTCCATGCAGAGGTGTTCAAATGGATAGAAACCTCTGACTTGGACAAAACAGTATCTTTCCCAGCCTGCAATAAGCCCTTCTTGAGGACGGCTCGTTTTTCATCTGGTGTGTTTCATGGAACAGGCTTTATTAACCAAATTTTAATAAGAGAAAACCAGCTTCAGACAGCTGCTGGTGGTTTTCCTTTGCAACAGAATTGCACAGTGCTGTGGCCTGTGGCTGTCAACATTGTTGTCTCTGGATGTTCGGAAGTGAAAGGGCTGCACAGCAGATTTCTGCTGGCTTTTCCACTGGGTTAGAGAGAGGGAAGCCCATGTCTGAGAAGGGGGTTTCTCAGAGCCCGAAAATCACTCAGGCACTCAGCCCAGGGTCACCTTCATTAGGACTGTCTCATGATTCCATTGCTAAATCTGCTTTGGTTTGGCAAATATGAAGTATTTATCACTACTAAGCAAGTTCCTGAAAACTTCATTCTCCATTACCTGGTGACAGTGTCGATATTTCATTAGAACTTCTTAGTTAAATGTATTTTAGGGCGTTATGGCCCCTTTAAAAACATCTGCATGCCTGCCCCCCCTTAAAGCTGCTATCTGGTAAAATGATTAGAAGAGAAGGAGATGAAATTATGAGATTTGGATTGCAGTGACTCAGAGAGTAGCAAGAGCAGCTCATTTAGAAGGGGAAAAAAGCTTAAACTTCACTGCAAAGGGTCAGGCTTGTACAATACCCCCATTCTAATTCTGCAGTGGCTGTGAAGTGATTCAGAGCTACTCTGACAAATGTAGGAACTTTCAAAGTCTGGGGAGTGAAATATTGTCTAATAATGAATCTTCCTTTTTTGATTAGTGTGGAACCTGTATCCTGCTTCCAGAGGCAGGACTCAGTTTTCTTATTCATTTTCACCACAGTTGGAATGGAAAAATTGAAATCATTGCTCTAATGGCAAGAAACATCTTATGGTGCTCAGAGCCAGCAATCAGTACAGACAGGCACAGACAGGGGCGCCTTTTGCTCCTTTTTTGGATGGAAAGAGCTTCACTCCACCGAAATAGATGATTTTCTAGTGGAGGCTAACATTGTAATAATAACATACTCTGATGGGCTTTTTTCTTTTTTCTTTATAAGGATTTCTCAGTTTTATGTCTATAATTGACATCTATGGACCAGCTATAAAAATGTATTCCTCAGCCTAAGGTGAGGGACTTTCGAGAGGTCCAGGAGATCCCAATTGGTTTGTGGAAACTCAAGCTGCAGAACTCCAAGAAGTAGGCGAGGGTGGGAGAGACAAGCAGGGCCTTTATCTAGGGAAGGTCAGCAAAACTTTTGGATTTCCGTATTTCTCCTAAAGGTGAAAAATGAGGTAAGAAAACTGAAGGGGAGAAGGGAGACATGAAACAAAAAGAATTAATGAGGATTGAGCCCTTTATGTGCCAGCCCAATTAGAGGTGCTTTACCCACATTACTGCATTTAATCCTCACAAGGGAGTGAGGCAAATCTGTTGCCTCTCCAGGAGTCACTGTCCTCACCTTCCATCCCTCCTGTCCCAGCCCATGTCACATGATAACAGTTAACTGCTAGAGAGCCACTTGGCCTTCATGTCAACAAATGGCCAAGGGACCCAGTTCTGACTATGGGACATAACACTAAGTCTGTTTGGGGAATTTGGAAAACAAGCTTTCCTTCAAGACAAAAAAAAAAAAAAAAAAAAAACAAGCACACATGAGAAGAGCTCTCTTGTCACCTGAGCTGCTCCCGGCTCCCTACATAGCAATGCAATTGTCTAAGGACCCAGTACTTGGAGCTGTAGCAGCCCATCTTGCAAGTAAGACACCAAAAGTTTTCATGTGAGGACAGTGGAATGGAGGATGAAAAAAAGCTTTATTCGGGCCGGGCGCGGTGGCTCACGCCTGTAATCCCAGCACTTTGGGAGGCCGACGCGGGTGGATCATGAGGTCAGGAGATCGAGACCATCCTGGCTAACACAGTTAAACCCCGTCTCTACTAAAAACACAAAAAATTAGCCGGGCGCGGTGGCGGCGCCTGTAGTCCCAGCTACTCCGGAGGCTGAGGCAGGAGAATGGTGTGAACCCGGGAGGCGGAGCTTGCAGTGAGCCGAGATCGCGCCACTCACTCCAGCCTGGGCGACAGAGCGAGACTCCGTCTCAACAACAACAAAAAAGCTTCATTCTTCATGACATTCTTGAGACCACTGATTCAGCCCTAGAGCCATCTACTTCTGGATGTCTTTTTGTGTGAGATAATAAATCTCCTCATTATTTCAGTCACTTTTAGCTGGATATTCTACTGCTTGCATTCAAAAGCATTCTAATTAACACAATATGACTATTTCCATTTTACTAAATTTGTTTCATCCAACAAACCAAGAAAATTAATTCATTGACCACCAGAGTAGAAGCAAAAGACAGTTGGTTTATAATTTCTCTGAAATAATATCTGTACAGTCCTTTAGTTTTTAGCTTACTACATTTCGTCCTCACTGTCCTTCATGTATAGATAACACATGATGGTCATGAAATGACCATGTACCACAGATGGTAACCTTATTTCCTATTATTTCTTGTGGCATAGGTGCTAAAAGCTTAATCCCAATCATCAACCACTAGCCTTAGAATGTGGCCAACACCCTTTTCCACTGAGAAGTTAGAGACAGATAGAAGTTTAGAGGCTTGTACTGTGAGGCCAGTCTAACATATGAACCTTTGATTATGACCTCCTACCATGATGATTATGATATCAGGTTCACAGTTCGGGACAATTCTGCAGAACAAGAAGGATGTTGCTCAAAATGGTTCTTAGCAAAATCATCAGTCATATTTAAGCTTTTAGTCACAGATATATTACACACTATATGACATTTTCAAAAAGACAAATGAAGAAGATTAGTGGTTGCCAGAGGCTCAAGGTAGGAGGAGGATGTGACAAGAAAGAGATGGCAGGCAGGAGTTTTTTGGGAGTAATAGAACTGTATCCTGATTGTGCAGCAGTTACGTGAATCTACGCATGTTTATTCCTTGAACTGTATACCAAAAAGAAGTCAATCTATTGTAAGATTTTTTAAAATAAAACTAAATTCATTCCATAAAACCTGGCTCCTAGGCATTTGTTAATTAGTCCAAATTGATTTATTTTTTTCCTTCAATTGTTAGCAAGAACGAAGGGAATAGTATAGTTAGTTACTGCTGGGCTTAAGAACACAGTAGACAGGTCAGGGAAGGAAAATATCTAGCAATATCAATTGCTGCAATTGACAAGTGTTTGGATTCACCAATAGGCATGGAAGAGAATAGGGTTTCATGAAACAAAACTGTAACTTTTAAATTGCTAGGGCCTCGTCCAATAACTTTTTGGGTTGGGAATTAGAGCCATTTCCTGGTTATAGAAGCTCAGGGTTTGTGATCATCTCAACTGATGCAGAAAAAGCATTTGACAAAATTCAGCCTCTTTCATGATTAAAAACAACAACAACACAACAAATTAGAAATAGAGGAAAACTATCTCCACACAATAAAGACCATATATTAAAAACCCACAGCTAACATCATACTCCACAGTGAAAGACCAAAAGTATTTCCTCTACGATCAGGCACAAGAAAAGGATATCCATTTTCACCACTTCTAATCCTAGAAGTCCTAGCCAGAGCAATTAGGCAAGAAAAAGAAAAACATCTGAATTGGAAAAGAGGTAAAACTCTCTCTGTTCACAGGTGACAAGATCTTATATGTAGAAAAGCCTAAAGAACTCACTGAAAAAAACTGTTTAAACTAATAAATTCAGCAAAGTTGCAAAATACAAAATCAATACACAGAAATCAGCTGTGTTTCTCTACACTAAGGATGAACAATCCAAAAAGAATATTCAGACAACAATTCAACTTACAATAGCATAAAAAACAATTGGGGTCCCAGGTGTGGTGACTCACACCTATAATTCCAGTCCTTTGGGAGTTGAAGCCTGGGAGTTCAAGATCAGCCTGGGCAACATAGAGATACCCTGTCTCTACAAAAATTTTAAAAAATAGCTGGAGGGCTGGGTACAGTGGCTCACGCTTATAATCTCAGCACTTTGGGAGGCTGAGGTGGGTGGATCCCTTGAGGTCAGGAGTTTGAGACCAGCCTGGCCAACATGGTGAAACTCCATCTCTACTAAAAATACAAAAATTAGCCAGGTGTGGTGGTGCATGCCTGTAGTCCCAGCTACTCAGGAGGCTGAGGCACAAGAATCGCTTGAGCCTGGGAGGTGGAGGTTGCAGTGAGCTGAGATTGTGCCACTGTACTCCAGCCTGGGCAACAGAGCGAGACTCTGTCTAAAAAAAAAAGGAAAAAAAAATTAACTGGGCATGCTGGTGGTGGCACACTCCTGTGGTCCCACCTACTCAGGAGACTGAGGTGAGAGGATCACTTGAGCCCAGGAGGTTGAATCTGCAGTGAGCCATGATCCTGCCACTGCACTCCAGCCTGGGCAATAGAGCAAGATCCTATCCCTTCCCCCCACCAAAATATATATATATATATATATACACACACACACACACACACACACACACACATAATATAGACACATATCTAATATACACAAACACACATATATATATAAATAATAATTTTGAGTAAAGTTAACAAAAAAGGGGAAAGACTTTTACATTGGAAACTATAAAATGTTGCTGAAAGAAACTAAAGAAGACATCAATAAATGGAAAGAAATTCCATGTTATGGACTGAAAGGCTTAATATTGTTAAGATGTTAATACTACCCAAAGCAATCTACAGATTCAATGCAATGCCTATCAGCATCTCAATGGCTTTTTAATTTTTGTAGAAATGGAAAAATCTATCCCAAAATTCATAATCTATCCCAAATAACAAAAATAATCTAAAAAAAGAAGAACAAAGTTGGAAATCTCATATTCCTGATTTCAAAACTTACTACAAAGCTATAGTAATTAGAACAGTGTGGTACTGGCATAAAGATAGACATATAGACCAATTGAATAGAATACAGAACCCATAAATAAACTCTGGCATATATGATCAAATTAATTCGTGACAAGGGCCAAAACCATTCAGTGGTGAAAGAACAGTCTTTCAACAAATGACATCATGAACATCATGAAAACTGGATCTCCAGATGCAAGAAAAAAAAAAAGAAGAAGAAGTAGTTGGATCCTTACCTTATACCAAATACAAAAATTATCTCACAATGTACCTAAACATCAGATGTGAAAGGATGAAACTCTTAGAAAACTCTGGTAACAGCTTCACTACATTGGATTTGGCAATGATTTCTTGGATATAACACTAAAGGCAGAAGCAAAAAAAGAAAACATAGACAAACTGGATATCATTATAATTTACAAATCTTGTGCATCAAAAGATACTATCATCACTCCCAACAAAAGTGGATTCCATCCATTGTACAGGTTCAACAAAACAAGATGTACACTGAGCCTGACTCCCTGTGGTGAGCATGAAAGATGGTGTCATTTTCTTGTGGGCAACAGCTATAAAAGCACTTCCTTCATTATAACCCAAAGTGCTAGAATTTCAAAATAATGATCACCTGCAACTCTCAAACAACAAAACCATTAATGATTTCCCAAACAATGAATAGATAAAATGTGCAGTACTTCTTAGAGGACAAAATAATATTACATTGATTATGCTACTTAAATTTTCAATAATCCCTACAATCTGATTTTTGCTTTTAAGAATTTACATTCTTCTTGAAAGCAGATTTGAATTCAAAATTTCTATATTATTCAGTCAAACAAATTCTTCCTACAGAAATAAAAGAAACGGTAACTTTAAGCACTTTTCAGCTACTGAGACAAGATAAAATATCCAGAGGATACAAAATATTTTACATGTACTTCCTGCATTTGTAGAGACCCTCATCCTTCAATACTTGTGAAATGGTGATGGGGTCAATAGCAAAGAGTTCTCGAGGTAAATTCTGGAATTCTGTATGACATAATTCAAATGTATCCATTTGTCAGAATCAACTCTCTGCATTTTCAGACAAAATTCAGTTAATGTCAAGTTGAGGCAAGTGCTAAACCTCGGCAATTTAAATTTTGAAAAATATTCCCAGCCAGATGCGGTGGCTTACACCTGTAATCCCAGCACTTTGGAAGGCCAAGGCAGGCGGATCACTTGAGGCCAAGAGTTCAAGACCAGCCTGGGCAACATAGCGAAATCCTGTTTCTACTAAAAATACAAAAAATTAGCTGGGAGTGATAGCACGCACCAGTAATCCCAGCTACTCGGAAGGCTGAGGCAGGGGAATTGCTTAAATCCAGGAGGTGGAGGTCTCAAAAAAAAAAAAAAAGAAAGAAGAGAAGAGAAGAGAAGAGAAAAAGAAAAAAAGAAAAGGAAAAGAAAAGAAAAGAAAGAAAAGAAAAAAAATACTCCTGCCTTGGGGAATCAGGATGAGGTAGGAAAGTACAGTTATTAAGTCCGTAGGTTCTCAGCACAGACTGCCCAAGTTCAAATCCCAGCCCTGCCATTTATTATACAAACTATGTGACCTTCAAGAAGTTATTTCTCACTAAACCACAGTTTTAAAAGGTAACAACAGCACAGTACAATAGTCCTCCTTATCTGCATGGCACATTTCCAAAGCCCCCAGTGGATGCCTGAGACCACAGATAGTACTGGACCCAACTGCTGTCATTTGGAGCGTGTTTCAGTTCATGTCTTCCACTCACAAATTTAATGCCTTTTCCATCTTAGGTAAGCACTTATCACATACTGTGGCCATAACTTTTGCAGTCTGAGGTGCAACAGCAAAACTAACACACATTTCTCTTTCTTTTCTCTTGACAAAAATGGATAAAATTCTTACTGTGGATTTTAGCAACCTCCGCATACTATTTTTTTTCGTTTCCTTATTTAGTTGAGAATGTTCAGCTTTTCATTTAAAGCAAACACTTTACAGCTTCTCTTTGGCATATCCGAATTGCCAGCATCACTACTCTTGGACTTTGAGGTGATTATTAAGTAAAATAAGGGTTACTTGAACACAAGCACTGTTGATACTGCGACAGTCAATCTGATAACCTAGAGGGCTCCAAGTCACTGTCACTAATGGGTGTGTAGCACGGACAGCGTGGAGATGCTGGACAAAGGGATGGTTCACATCCCCAGCAGGATGGAGCAGGATGACCTAAGATTTTGTCACACTACTTAAAATGGCCTGCATTTAAAACTTACGAATTATTTCTGGAATTTTCTATTAATATTTTCAGACCACAGTTGACCTCAGGTAACAGGAACCATGGAAATTGAAAACCATGGATGAAGGGGAACTATGATAACTGTCTCACAGAATTGCTAGAAAGGTGAGAAATGCACCCGAAGCACTTAGTGTCAGAGTAAATGACATCTAGAAAGGGCTCAACACATACCAGCAATTATTACTTACCTGGATACTTTTCCATGACCTTTTGTAAACCATGTTGCCTATAAATTGCACTAGAGATATCCATTGCATATCCCATTGCCTCATACAATTTCAATTGCTAGTCAAGCCCACATTTAATCCTATAATGACAAACAAATATGAAGTTCGATTTTCTTTAAATAAAATCACATCACAAAAGCAGAATTATTACTAAAACAACTCAGCCTCTGGCATAATATTTTACAGATTTTCATAGGCTTTTCCCAAGGTAAATTGGTAATTCTTCATCATAAAAGCAGTCGCTATAGCAATACTTCAACTGACTCCTGCATGACTGAAAGAGACCTTGAAAATAAAATAGCAAAATAGCAACAATTTAAAAAAATCTAGCTGCCTATTAATGGTAAAGTTCAGGTCTATATCGTGACTACTTCTACTCAGATAAATCCTCTGCCTCTGAAATATGACCAATGGTGTAGGGGAAAAAAGACACAATCAACTGAGTAAAAACGCGACTCACAGAACGGGAGAAAATGTGCACAAACCATGTATCTCATAAAACATTAATAGCCAGAATATATTTTTTAAAATTCCTACAACTCAACAACAAAAACCAAAACACCCAGTTGAAAATGAGCAAAAGGACTTGAAAAAAAATCTCCAAAGAAGTACAAACTGGCCAATAAACACCTGAAAAGATGGTCAGCATCTAATGATAAGAGAAATGCACATCAAAATCACTATTAAATGCAATTTCACATCAATTAGGATGACTGTTATTTAAAAAAACAAAAATAACAACTTTTGGCAAAGATGTGGAGTAACTGGAACCCTTGTGCATTGCTGGTAGGAATGTAAAATGGTGCCGCCACTAGGGAGAACAGTATAACAGTTCCTCCAAAACTTGAAAATGGAACTACCATATTATTCAACAATTTCATCCCTATGTATATACCTGCTCATGTTCACAGCAGCGCTATTTACAATAGCCAAAAGGTAGAGACAACCCCAGTATCCACTGAGAGATGGCTGGATAAACAAAATGGGGCATATACATACAAAGGTCTATTATTCAGCCTTAAAAAGGAAGTAAATTTTGACACATGCTACAACAGCACGGATGAACCTTAAGAACATTTTGCTAAGTGAAATAAGCCAGTCACATAAAAACAAATGCTATACAATGCCACTTATATGAGGTACCCTAAAATTCATAGAGAAAGAAAGTGGGACAGAGATGATTACCAGGGGCAGAGGAAGGGGAGAATGAAGAGTTGTTTAACGGATGTAAAGTTTCAGTTTTGCAAGCTGAAAACAGTTTGAAGGTGGACAATGGTGATGGTTGTACAACCATGTGAATATACTTAATGCCACTGAACTCTACACGTAAAAATGGTGAAAGCGGTCCTGGGCTGCGGTGGCGCGGTGGTCGCCGTGATGGTCACAGGACTTCGCAGCTGACCCCCGGGCTAGGAGAGGGCCCAGTGCCCCAGATCTCAGTGGCCACTGCTGGAGCGCGGCCTGCACCATGGCCACCTCCGCCGCCTCCTCGGAGCATTTCAAGAAGCTGTAGGAGATCTTCTACGGCCTCCACGAAGACCTATAAGGGGTGCCTGAGCGGCTGCTGGGAACGGCGGGGACCGGAGAGAAGAAGAAGTTAATCAGGGATTTTGATGAAAAGCAACGGGAAGCAAATGAAACGCTGGAGAGATAGAGGAGGAGCTACGTTATGCACCTGTCTTTCTGTAATCCCATGATGTCTAAGTTTCAAAACTACCAGAAGGACCTCGCCAAACTCCATGGGGAGGTGAGCAGCACACCTTTGACAGCCACACCTGGAGGCCGAAGAGACATGAAATATGGCATATATGCTGTAGAGAATGAGCATATGAATCGGCTACAGTCTCAAAGGGCAACGCTTCCTCAAGGCACTGAAAGTCTGAACTAGGCCACCCACAGTATTGAATGTTCTCATCGGATTGCCACGGAGACTGACCAGCTTGGCTCAGAAATCACAGAAGAGCTGGGCGAACAATGAGACCAGTTAGAATGCACCAAGAGTAGACTGGTAAACACAAGTGAAAACTTGAGCAACAGTCGAAAGATTCTCCGTTCAATGTCCAGAAAAGTGACAACCAACAAGCTGTTGCTTTCCATCATCATCTTACTTTTGCTCGCCATCCTGGGAGGTCTGGTTTACTACAAATTATTTCATAACCATTGAACTTCCTATAGGGAAGGGTTTGTGGACCAGCACTTTGACTTTGTGAATGCATGATGTTAGGGATGTGAATGGAATAAGCATACTGCTGCTGGATGTGGATGGAATAAGCATACGGCCTAACAGTTCAGGGATGCACTGTGTAGCTGGACTGTGAGAGAAGGGAGGAAAGATGGAAAGCCACTTAAATGTGAAGGAACAGCAACAAGACCAGTATGATATACCAAGATAATAAATGCTGTTTATGACTTCTTTAAAATAAATGGTTAACGTGGGAAATTTACATACTTACCACTTAAACCATTTTTATGTGTAGAGCTTAACCGTTTAGTACTTTAACCTCCAACAGACACTCAAGTTCAATGTGCCATGCCTGGAGTTTGGAATGGCAGATATGAAAAACCCTTTTTGAGTGGGTAATTACATGTGCACTAACCATTTGAACAAGCCAAATATCAGTAAAGAAGATGGCATGATGATGGCTGCAGCTGAAAGCGGCAGCATCTTCTAAAAAGTTAGGACAGCATGCTTGTTTATGTGAGGTTCCTGTCTTGCTAGTTTCACTGGAAATGAATCGTCTCCCTATCAATGGAGAGTTTTATTAACTTGGGTTTATTCGGTTCACTAAAATAGTTCCATTATTTAAGCACTCAAAAAGTTCTTTAGCCAGAGACATCTTATGTCACTACATCACCGAACAGAACTCTGTCAAGGATGCTCTGTAGATAACTTTTTAGCACAAGGAATTCATTCTCCTAAACACATGGGAGCCTCCACATGGCCCTTTAAAAGACACTGACCTCTTTGAAATTAGGACTGCAAGATCTATGAACTGGGGGCAACTCCCAGTTGCACAGATTCCTCTGAACTCTGGTTCTCAGAAAGACTAAATGAAGGAATCATCGGAAGACTCAAAATAGAATCTGTCACATACCAATCCTATGAGATAATGCATGATCTTGCAGAGGCACTAAGAAGAAGGAAGATGGATAATCTGAGGCTGTGTTTAACGTGGTTTATTGGCTTCTATGGACTCAAAGACCATGGAAACAATCTTCTTCTTCC